TATTCTAATTATTACCCAAAAGTTTATAGGAGTTTTGCACCTCTAAAATGTGGCTCTCAATGAAGCAACGCTTAATTTTCGGCCGATCAGGTGGCAAATAAAATGTTCTTTTCGTGGATAAACTGGTGTATTAATGAGGAGGGCGATGTAAACGAAGCATTCCAACATTGATCAAATGATATTTGAATAAAAATTATAGGTTTACCGATAGCCACGAAACCTATTTCCTGTTACAAATATAGTTGGTTGCATACATGTTCACCTCATTGGCAATCCCATTATAGATGTGGTTTGGGACAACCCTGCCCCTGACTTAAAGACACTCGTGGCAATGTAGCGTAATCGCAGCATGTCGAAACGATACACTGCACCAACCGGGTCCAATTCCTGTTGGTGGTGCAAATGAGACCAAGACTGGATGAAACTAACTTGTTCAAAACAAGGCTAAGTAAAAGTCAATGGAAGCATCAAGCAAACATGCTAGTGTGGGAAAATTCAACTACCAGTCCTTTATCACCTTACGTGACCAAGGATTATCAGAAATTTTATTTCTGATTGACTGATACTCTTTAAACTGACTTCGTATGGATAAAAATAATGTTTGAATCAAAGGACCGTGATTAAAATATACGACTAGTAAAGCTCGAATTTGCCTTTTTATAAGAAGCATTTGGCAACCAAATTTACTTAAATAAACTTTCGTATCAAAATATGAGCCAAAATTATTTACTTATTCGTACATCGCACGAGTAATCGATTACTCCCATCTTAATAATTAAATCATTAACACAAGGCTTTCAGGAAAAATGGATGTATCCCCCATTTTGCAGGATGTTACATACACTTTGAAGACAATTTTCCAAAAGCTTCGTAAGCAGAACTTGGCATTTGGTTATAGATTTGAGAGACATATCTGTCTCAGTATTGTGTAACCCAATTTAGCAGAAATTTATGCCTTTGCAATATTCATACAGAGGCCAGACATAACATTCTATAAGTAAACTGACATAAATCGCACAACCACAAATCTTAGAAAATGATTCTGGACAGGCAGCTCGCGAAAAGTTAAATTTTATAAGGCTGGTGAGTGCGAAACTAAAGTTCTTTAAAAAGATATTTTGGGTCCTGTGGAGTCCCAGTGTCGAAATTAATTCGCCAGCAGCAAAAAAGTAACATTAGTCAAGACCAATAAAGGTTGATACATAGAAAAGTCGTTGAGAAAAAGTAAAGAGCAAGCTAGCAAGCCCAAGGAAAAAGTCTATTTGACGAACGTGGCAAAAGGCAATATGTTGGAAAGATAGTTTGATACTTATTGCAGAGCATATTTATATCATATAATAAATATAATACTATTGATTGATAATACTACACACTTGGAAAAACTTAAAGGGAAAATAAGAGTAAGGGGCTTAAAATACATAGATATCAATCAGAAGAGACAAAGAGTGAGGTCATCAAAAAGCCTGAGGTCCCTTAAGTTTGCTCGCCGAGTCACCATAACAACAAAGAATGAACAACTAAAGTGACGTAAAGGCGGGAAAATAGAGAAAGGAAAGATATACAAATAATTAAAATCGAAATGAAAGTGAAAATAAAAAGAAGAAGTGTAAAGCATAAAGCGACTCTACGCCTTTTGAAGAGAATGGATTTTGCCAGACAAATGACGATGGGTAGGATAGAACAAACTAAAAATTGGTGCTGGGGGGGGGTAAGATAGATAGTTGGCAGGATGGAGGGAATGGATAATTAGCTGGGCCCGAAAGGAACATGTGAAGGCTGTACAAGATAGAAAGACGACGAAAAATTGGCCTTGTGAGTGCAAGAGAAGACATAAGGCAGAAATAACATCGCATCATATTTTTTTGATAGACGAGCGGATTTATGTGCAGGTATCTCAGTATGTATTCTCATGCATATATATATACTTGTTCATAAGTTTATACTTATAGATGAAATCCGACTGCATTCAAACAGAATTAGTGAATATTTCAAATTGCAATGGCGATGTTCTCCGGGATCATTGCACACTAGAGGTTGAAAGCAAAAGGTTTATAATATATATAATCAATAAGAAAATGTCTTGAAAAATATTTCTTAAAACATAAATCATGCAATAATGCCGTGCTGTACGAAACTGGCCTTTCATAGCATACGGGATCAAGAAAATATTGACTTATAATTTAATGAATCAGCCTTGCCATCAAACAAAACTATTAATTGTTATGATAACAGGCTGGAAATGGTACTCTTGATTAAAAAGTTAATAAATAGGTAATTAGCAACTAGGTCTTTCTGACAACACGACCAAGTTGCAAAACGATAAGAGACCACTTAGATAAAGTATAAAATCCAAAAATAATTTTAAGTAAGCTAAATTTTATTTAGGAAGTCCTTCTTTGAAGAATATGCCATGACAAGACTAAATAAAAAAACCTAATAAAGCATTCCTATCAATATTTACTGAGCAGTAAAATATGTAAATCAATTAATTAATAATCTAGATTCTCAATGTTGATTAGCTTAGGCTTCAATCTAAAACCATTTAATTAAACGTGTTGAATGATCTGATTTCTTAAATAAGCATCATTCAAGGTTCAGCTGAGACTCTAAGAAGAAGATGGAAGTATTCAAAATTATTATAAGATAGTTTATATATAAAAACACACTACTAACAGTAGCATGAACATTGTTGCGACAAAACGTGAGTATATTGATTAATACCTGTAGATCCAGCTCATTATTTATTAAACCATCCATTTGTAAGAGCTGGTAGTGAGGATGGGTCAATTGTGAAGCATCTACGCGCATTGATCCAAGCACTTCTGACCAGGTTACGGGGGGCACAGTTGGAGTAGAAATCGCTGATGATGATGGCATTGGAGTACCCTCCAAGCTAGCAGAGGCGAAATTTGCAGCGCGAACTAACAGACGCATTGACTGAACAGGAGTGTTTGGATCCAACATCATTAAGGCAATCGGTTCATTGGTGACTTCATCGACCTTTTACATATTAAAAGAGAAAATATAGTTAATTTTGGAGTATAGGTCTACCACAAACATGCAATCGGAAAATATCAATACAAACCTAAAAGGATGAAAGATCGAGACGCGGAATTGATCG